ATATACAATCAAACAAGCAAAAAGTGGTAAGGCCCCCGGTCCTGATGAAATTCCCGTAGAACTGCTCAAACTTATGGACGATAAATCTATTAAAATGCTCCTAGATCTATTTAACACAATAATATATAGAACTGGAATAATACCTAGGGAATGGCTCCGTTCGACCTTTATACTACTGCCAAAAAAGGCAAATACAAAGGAATGCAACGAATATTGTACGATAGCTTTGATGAGTCATGCTCTAAAACTGTTCTTAAAAATAATCCATAATAGGATCTATAGGAAATTAGACGTAGACATCAGTAACACTCAGATCGGATTCAGAAAAGGGCTGGATACAAAGGAGGCTCTGTTTGCAATGAACGTTCTCTCACAGAGATGCTTAGACATGAACCAAGAAATTTACGCCTGCTTTATTGATTTCGAAAAGGCCTTTGACAAAGTACAACATGAACCACTAAGACAAGTTCTAATAAAGAAAAATATAGACTGCCGAGATATTCGAATTATATGCAATCTATATTGGAATCAAACAGCAAATGTCAAGGTTGAGGGCAGACTAACAGAAGAAATTCAAATCCGTCGAGGAGTCCGGCAGGGATGTATCTTATCGCCACTTTTAATTTAATCTGTATAGTAAAGCTATCTGTGAACAAGCACTCGAGGAAGAAGATCTTGGTCTGATAATAAATGGTGAGACGATCAACAATATAAGGTATGCTATCGATACAGTTCTCCTAACGGGAACGCTAGTAGAACTACAACATCTCGTTCAAAGTCTCAATATATACTGTAACAGTTACGGCTTGAAAATTAATTTGAAAAAAACTAAATTTATGGTAATCACGAAATCAAAGAACATCAGAGCTAATCTTGTAATAGACAATACAACGATTGAGCGTGTGCCCTGTTATAAATATCTAGCTGCATGGATCACAGACGATACTGATCAAACAAAAGAGATTAGATGTAGAATAGAAATCGCTTGATAAGTCTTTAATAGAATGCGCAAACTCTTTTGCAATCGTGATATCAATATAAAGTTACGAATACGAATGCTGCGGTGTTATGTCTTTTCTACCCTGTTATATGGAGTTGAGGCTTGGACACTAAAACAGTTGTCCATAAAAAACATCGAAGCTTTCGAGATGTGGTGCTATAGGCGCATTCTCAGAATATCATGGATGGACCGCGTCACTAACACGCAAGTACTCCAAACTTTAGACAAAAGATGCGAAATTCTAAATGTGATAAAAACTAGAAAGATGGAATACTTGGGACACATTGTGAGAGGTGAAAAGTACGAACTTTTAAGAAACATCATGCAGGGCAAAATTAAGGGCAAGAGAAGTGTGGGAAGAAGAAAAATATCGTGGTTTCGTAATCTACGTGAATGGTTCGGGTGTAGTTCGATTGAACTTTTTAGGCGCGCTGCTAACAAAGTCGCAGTGGAAATGATGATTTCCAATCTCCGCTAGGAGTGGCACGAGAAGAAGAAGATGTATTTGTGTTTTAAAGTAAATACAATATATTGTAGTGTATTTGGTGATAAAAAGAAAACGAAATCAACAAGAAAAATGTTATACAAAAATGTAAGGTGCAAAAACTTGGAAAAGCCGTTACAAAAACTAGGGTTAGTACGAGAGTTTTAACAGGTATTTTGCTTGAAATTTTGGACAGCACGATAGTCTATTTTGAGGATAATTACTAGCGCTGTTCGATATTAAAATCTAAACTTTTTTTATTGTTTCTTTGGCTTTGCCAATGCAAATTTAAATTTAGCTATATGGACGTGGTTGCTATGAACATTTTCTACTTTTATCATGGCTTTGAACTCAATGAACAAGGCAGCTATCTAATGGTATTATTGCAAGTTTTATCCAAGTCCAACGTCGTCGCCATGGTAGTTTTGATGTGTCATCAGAAAGTAAACAGCAGTGTACCGTAGCTTTTGCTATTCCAGGTGGGCAAGGTAACGTGAAATCAGTTTTTAAAAAAATGATAAAATCTTCACGATAGACAGATGATAAAAGATTATATCAATAGCTTCCCAATAGACATGAGCCACTACACTCGAATAAAAAGTGAATAAGAATATCTCAAACTGGACATCAATGATAATAAGCTATTGTTCGAAGCTGAATTAGACGAAATCTTTGATTACTCAGATGAAGATTTAAATTACGTAAAGATTTGTAAGAGGAATTAAAAAACCTGGAAGTCGATAGTTAGAAAGGAAAAAGAAGCAGGTGATGAACAGTATCCACCAAAAAAGAATCAGCTAGTAAAACCACGAGTACTGGGTCCAACGTGAATAAAAACTTGTAAAATGAAATGTAGTGAGAAGTTTTAACAAGAAAATCGTCACGATATTTTAAAACAGTTTTGGACTACTCAAATTGATATTAATTAGAAACGTCAATTTGTCGCATCAACTGTTAAAGTTGAGCCCATCTATACACGATGCAAAAGAACGGGAGAAAAAAATCAACGAAACAAAACTTTACCCAATAAAGGAACCAGTGATATTGTATCTGAAGATAAGAGAGGAAAAAAGTTTCCGCCCAACAAAATCAACGAATAACTGAGGCGTAGTGTAAGAGAACACATTTTACAATTTTCTGTTGAACAGTCACATTACTGGCATGAACGGACCAATAAAAATTATCTAGGGTCACACTTGAATATTTCCAAAATGTACGAACTCTATAAGCAACAATTTGAGGAATAGAATATTTAACACAGAGTTGAACTAATCGTTGATATCGACGATTAATGACACATGCGATACTTGTGACGGTTTCCAAATTAAGCTGCGTGATTTGTTAACGCTAGAAGAAAGGAAAAACCTACAGGATGAATATGATAGACATCTGGTAGAGGTATATAACCGATACAATCTAAAAAAAATGATAAAAGAGGTCTTCCACAATTCCTAGCCTAAAAGTTATAATGGTTGATTTCGAAAAGTGCCTTCCTACTCCTTTTTTAAAAAATGCACAGATTTTCTATAGTCTAAAACTGTGGACATTTAACGAAACCATCTACGATGCAGGTAACAAAAATGTATATTGTTGTATGTGGGATGAGTCAATCGCTGGAAGGGGAGTCAACGAGATGTCATCCTGCTTGCTGAAATGAATATTGTTCTCAAACATATAACCTACTGTTTAAGATTTAATAATTTGTTCCGATAATTGCCCATCTCAAAATAGAAACCTCGGTATGGTTATGTGCTACTTTAATATCCTCCAAATTTGTCCCAATATTAAAAGTATAAGTCATAAATTTTTATTGAAAGGACATAAATATCTAGAGGTAAATTCTTATCATGCACGGATAGGAAGTAAATAAAAAAACCATCCACAATTTACATATTATTACACCTTGGAATTGGCAACAGATCACCAGAATGTGTAACAAAAAAAAATCACTATGAAGTGTTAGCAATGGAAACAAATGATTTTAAGAACTTTAAAAGTATGTATACATCTTAACAGTCGCCTTACCTAGCACGTAAAAACTCGACAAATAGAGAACAGTTTTTAATATCTAAAGCCGTTCAATTGAAGGTGAGAGCAGATGCACCTGGTTATTTATTTTATGAAACGGATTTTAAAAGTGACTTTTATGAACTGCATCTTTGATTTTAGACATCAATTTGCCTCTTATCCGTGAAGAACTGAATCCACTACAATCTACTAAATACCAACATTTGCAGAATTTATTAAAATGAGTTCCCAAGGTGTTCCATGGTTTTTATAATAATTTACCACATTCTAATAATTTATCAAATGAAACTATTGATGACGATTACGATTAAGTCTACTGTGAAATGTTTGTATTTTTGTATAAGTTATAAAAATTAGTCAATATCACTCCTTTACTTCTGTTACTTAAATGGTTGGTAGCTGTCTTATAATTGATAGTTTTATTAATGTGTACCATTTCAAGGAAAAGTCGATTTTTATAAATATCAACTTGTTCCAAGATTTTTACATTATTAAAGTAAAAGTTATGTCCTGTCTTCAAGTGGTGGTCCACTAAGGCACAAGAATGCTTAAATTCTATAAACAAAAATTTGGAACACCAATGGGCAGTCCTATTAGCCCTATTTTAGCAACAATTATCCTAGACCATTTATTAGACCTTGGAATCTCAAAATTGCCGTTTTCAATAACATTTATTTATATTGAACAATTAATCATGAACATGGTTATTGAAAAGGCCGTAACTCAATAAAAACTGTTTTTTGAAAAAAGTGACAAGAGGCACCATCATTTTATAAATAATGTGTTAAACTAATGATGCCACCAAATTCATTTAATTTGAACGTACTCATAAGTTTGGGGGGATTTAGGGCTGCACACCCCCCTTAAAATTTTTCTGTGCGCTTAGGTTTTATTGTTTCTTTTTTATAAAAAATGCTTTTAGAACATGAAAGTAACGTGTCCATTTCTATTGCAAAAGTAGCATATTGTAAAAAATGCAAGTAGTTTAGGAGATAATGCAAAAAAACAATTTTTATTTTGTAACTTCAAAGGGCAGTAACTTTTTTTGTGTACACTTTTGTACTAAGGTAAGTTGGATTTAATTAATTTATTTTTGGATTTTTCATCCCCGGAATGCATGATTTAATTTATGACATACCTTTTTGAGACACCCAGTATATTATATCTATATATGTGTATATATATATATATATATATATATATATATATATATATATATATATATATAATATATCTATATATATATATATATATATATATATATATATATATATATATAATATATATATATATATATATATATATATATATATATATATATATATATATATATATATATATATATATATATATATATATATATATATATCTTTCTTTTACGCAAAATTCATGCGTAATTCGAATTTACTCCGTGCGCACCTGAGAACTCGTTGAAAATCGAATTCAAGCTTACAAAGTCGGTATAAATACGTGACTTTATCAGCATGTGGCTAATCGTTAACCTTACCAATGCTCATGCTTAAATAATAATAAAATTTTGATTGATATTGTCAGCTGTAATTAATTCCTATATTAAAGGCAGACCTTTTGAAGCATTCATAAATATGGGTAAGTCTGTTTATTTAGCTATTTTTTGTATAACCAAAGTATGAAACTGTGTTTGCATTTTGTCATTTGTCAACAACAAAATTGCATCATTAGGTGTTGCTAGGGAGCACGGAACTGTGCGGTATTGCCAACGTTGCTCTAATAAAATTGAATTTATATTAAATACCTACTTGCACATTCTACAAGTGGTATCAGAAATATATTTTTTATAGCATATACATTAATAAGGTAGTTAGTATATCTTGTTTGTCACAAACATTTTTATATAGTCTTTTCCAGTTCATAGTTAGTGTAAAGAATTATGTTCAATTATATATGTCACGTAAACATATCTACGTACTGGCAACGCTGCATAAATCTCAATCTGTTGAGGACAGGCGAGAGGCGAGTATATCGAGAAGCATACAATGGCGTAACAATAGTACGGATTAGGTTAAAAATTCAATACAAAAATTTTATATAATTTACTTCAACTTATTGACTATATTTAATATTATATAAATAATATTTAATATACAGGCTGCGCCAAACTTCTGGCTTCTTTTTATTATGTATAAATTATAGGATACATAAAAAATGTTGATAACGAAACTGATGTATATCAAGGACGTCTAGAATTTAAAATTATTTTAGATTATACAGGGTCAGTCGGAATAATGGAATAAACCAAAGTTGTGTTATTTAAATTGAACTCTATATATTAAAGCACTTTTGAATATATTTTTTAATAAAAATATGAAGAAATTTTATATGGATTTATAGGTCTAATTTATACATTTTTAAAGAGATAAATGGTAAGATATAAAACGGTGTGAATTAGTTTTCGGAAGTAATAAAAATTCAAATCACATTTCAAAGTTATAGTATAGTGTCATTTTTAACCCTAGAACCACAATGTGAGGGAACTGGAATATAAATCACAACGTGGGGTCGTCTTTGACCCTAATAAAAACTTACTCAAATATGACAAAGAAAAAAATGTATTTGATACTATTTCATTTTTAAATAGTTTATTATATGACAGTGTAAACTTTCTACAGTAAATACCGAAAAAAGAGTATGATTAACAAATAAACAACAAAATAAAAATAATCATTTTTTAGTAGTGAAAATAACACGATAAAAACAAATCTGACCAATACAAAATATTTAAATCAAGATTAAGATTTACACATTTCACAAATGCTAAACTGATGTTCTGCACATAAATTTTTTCGACAATGAATACAAATATGGCGTCCTTTACGGTCACGAGATCTTGAACAAAAATCACAACGACGTGAACGTTTTTGTGGCTCTTGGGGTGGTAGTTCGTCTGGGTATCCAAGATATTGTCTCAGAGATTGTCCTAACTGTCTTAGCAGTCGGTAATTTTTTACTCTATGCTTCATATAATCTTCCACCAAAGAATCAGCTAAGTTTTTAAGAAAAGTAGAATGGACGTTCAAATTCGGTAATGTTTGAAATTGATCCAGCAGCATCTAACATTCCATACAGAATCCTTAAAGGCCACTTTCTCGTCCTTCGAGCAAGTGTCTTCGAATGACAGAGTTAATCAACCGTATCGATCCTACCTTTAGTCGAATTGTAAAACATTGTAATTTCTAGCTTTTTTGTTTCTGCATTAATTTTGTCTCCAAAATGCATATAACTTTATAAGTAGAACGTATTTTTTCTTTTCTGAAACATGGGACACTAAAGATCTTTTAAAAAAGCAAACGCTGATGAGTGGATTTAACTGCGTTTTACATCTATAAATTGTACCGGTATTCCTCTTTTATTTTTGCGAAGAGTTCCTATCATGGTAAGTTTATTTTCAAGAAGTTTTTTTGCTAACTTTATCGATGAAAACCAGTTGTCTATTTTTATGTTACGATTTTTTCCTGCTATTGTTTTCAATAGTTTCATAACATACTGCGTTGAAATAGAACTATCTTCAGGCCTTCTGTTTCGATCTTTTTCCGTATAAGGAATTGCAGAACACATATAATTAGTTTTGGCGTCGCACATCATAATAATTTTAATACCATAATTTGTTTGATTTTGCTAGGTAAGTACATTTTGAATGGGCAGCGACCACTGAAGTTTAATAGCTCTTCATCTATAGTTACATATTCATAAGGAGTATACAAACTTTCGCAGTTTTCTATAAATAGATCCCATATTTCTCTTACGGCTAATGGATTAAGTCCACAGTCAGGAAATTCGATGACACACACATATTTCTCTTATTGGTGCGAATTTATCGACAGTTTTTCTTTCTGTTCGAGTTGTTTTGTCATCAAAACGCAAGCAATTTAAAATACATTCAAATCGGTGTTTTGTGAGTGTATTGCGAAATATTGCTAAGCCAAATTTTTCTGACCAGATGTCTTCGAGGGAAAGAGTTGCTTGGTTTAGAAGTCATACAAAGTATAAAATCCCAAACAAAGCCAGAAGTTCTGCTTTATGTGTTTCTTGTATGTATCGTTGTTCCGAAGTAAATTTTGATTTTTGAATTTCTATTTCTCTATTTATACTGTTGACAATTATCTCTAGAATTTCATCGGTAAAAAATAGCTGCCATATTTCTTTCGAACTTTTAATGTTTTTACATTTTTGTTTTGGGCCAGGTAAATGTACAACTAAATTTTTTGCCGAGGTCCTCGTTCTCTTTGAAATTAATGGCTGCCAGTATCACTTAAAACCATTACGAGCAAAAAATCCACGACGGTCATCTGTAGCATATGTTTCAGTAGCTTCCTCATTATTGTCTGTTCCCTCCTGTACTTCTCTAATAGTACGTTCATCAGATGCAGAATCGTTGATTAAGACATCCTAGTCTTCGCTATTGTTTTCATCTAAGGACTCCTAGTATGCCAGATCGTCATTCTCGTCTTTATATAACTTTTTCCAAAGCTTTGTTACAGTAAGAGGACGCCGTCGTTTATACTGCAGTTGAAATGCACTTCGTTTTAAATTTTTATCAGGCATTTTCCTTTATTCAAACAACCAAAATAAAAAATAATAAATTTGGCCGCGAATCCTTATTATTTGCGAAAACGAAAGTCGGATCAAAAAATACGTACACACACCAGAACCTACAAACGAGAACTGAAGCTACGTCGCTACCACGTACCACGTTTTGTCGGTTGAGGTTAGTGTATTCAAGTAGGTAGTTAGAACCTCTATCGGTAGTACATACGCGCCACCTTTTATGTACTTTTATTGTTTCAAACGATATTATTACGAGTATATTGTAAATTTAACTTACTTCACATGTTTATTGTAATGAATATAAAAATGTACTTTTTTGACAATAGGGTAACCAGAAAAAATTATTTTAAATTCAATAATCCCGAAGATGTCGAAGCACTTAAAAATATGATTATAACCTGAGGCTATTTAGGAATGTGAAGAAATTTGTGTGAGTGTAGGTGAATTAGAAGAAGTACCGGATTGACTTGCAGTTAGGTTTTCTGTTGTAACGAATTTTTGAGTTATTGGATTATTTTCTTTTTCAAATATGTTAGTATTAGCGTTGATTGGTTGGAGATATTGTAGATAAGGTTGATGTTGAAGATGTTAGTAATTATTTGATGACTACTGAATTAGTTCGAATTTGTTATCCTTTTTTAATTTTAATTTTCTTTATTGGCAAGGTTTAGAGCCGCTTATGATAAAATGGATCCCTTGCTTATGTCAATGCGATATATTTCAAGTGGTTTATCTCTATCTTCAATCCTGACCCCCCAGAGGGAGTGTGGTGCTCGACGTGATGTCGTGTATTGTCCGTCTCCAGAGATCTCTGTCTCTGGTCATTTCTTTTAATTCATGCATAGGTCTTTAGCATATTCCTGTAATTTGATCTATCCATCTTGTTGAGGATCTTGCTCGTGATCTTCGGCCTTCTACCTTTCCTTGTATTATGAGTGATTCCATGTTTTCTGTGTTTGCTCTCATAACATGCCCAAAATATTTTAATTGTTGGAGATGGACTTTACTAGAGAGTCGTCGGCTAACTTTTAGCTCTCTTAAAATTGAATTATTTGTTCTACGGTCGGTCCAAGGAATCCGTAACATTCGTCTCCAACAGAACATTTCAGTGGCGTCTATCTTTCTTCTCTCCGATTGTCTCAGAGTCCAAGATTCACATCCGTAGGTCAGTATTGGGAATATTAAGCAGTTGATCAACCTCATCTTTATCGCTCTTGAAATTTGACAGTCCTTCCATATTTTGGTCATTTTTGCTGTGGCAACTTTTGCTAGAACACTTCTACGTTTAATCTCTTCTTGTAATGACCCTGTGTTTGTGATTATTGATCCCAATCCTAATGGATGATTGTTGTGTAGTCTATCCACTATCATGATCTTTGTCTTTGATATGTTTAATTGCAGACCAAATATTTGACTTTCGTTTTCGATCAGTCGTATAAGTTCCATCAGCTCTGCTTGACTATTTGCAAGAAGGGCTATGTCATCTGCGAAACGTAGATTGTTTAGTTTATGACCATTTATTGAGACGCCCTTTTCCCATCCTTCAGGTGCTCTTCGCATAATATATAAAGTGGTTTATATGCATTGAATAAAAACTGTACGTATATTTTTTTCTTTTCTCTAGTTAGAAAATCATTTTATTTTCACTCTGTGACAAACCTGTTTATAATAGTTGGCATAAACCAACAAAAAACACTTTTATTCGGAGCTGAAATTATTGACAGTTTTCTCAATAAAATATTTTGACAGTTCCCTAATAATGTCTCAGTGTCTTAATACTAAAATTAATTTAAATTTTACTAAATTTAAACCTATTTTTAAAAACTTGATTGCAGCTTCACCTCGTGGGGGTCCCAGCTCGGCTGTTTAGACTTGCACTGAGTATACGCATTAAGAATTTATTCATTTCACATATTGCTCAACATTACTATTTATTCTTCAATAATTTACAAAACTAGCTTGCTCAGGTTCAATTCATCTCCACAGTTGTATATTTCAACGTCTCCCACTGTTGATCAGTTGGT